GTTGCACATGCTTGGCTACAAGTTGCTCCTTAACTCCATTTTCCTCAGCTACAAATTGCTCCTCGTGTCCAGGTCCTTTCTCATGCTTCGAGTCTTTTGTGCTTGGCAGGATCATATTAGATGTGAAACGAGGTCTAGCAACATATACATAGTTCTCACAAAGTTACTAGTCAACATTCACATCGTTCGTAAAGAAAAGATCGTAGTGTTCTTGATTTGAGGAAACTAGATGAACGGAATGTTACGAATAGAGATGGGTATGACATGGTAAACAATGATAGGGGGAAGATTGATGCGATCATAAAATCAGTAGCTAAACAGGAGCTCCAACAAACTTACCACTCGAGCCAACAAGGACACATGTGCCTTTAATGGAGCTTATCGAACCAACCAGAAGGAGTTAAGTAGCAAGTCAAATTTTCCTAGAACCTTGACTCATCAGAGGCTCGCTACAAATTGAAATTGGGTCCATAGGAGCTCGGACCAAACTGGAACTGAATTTACAAATAAGGTGATTCCAGACAACCTTGTTAGTGAAGCTGATGCAGATCTATATTCATTGTTCAACATCTTCCAGCTCAACAACGATGACTTAGAATATAATACTACTTGATAAAGATGCTCAGCTCATCTACAGCACGCCTCGAAGCTGAATCAGCTGAATTGGAGTTCATTTGAAGGAGTTATTCAGCCTGCAAATCGGATAATCACGTACTTTCCTGATTTAGACATGCATGCACTAATTGGAGGATTCCCGCCGAACCGAAACCAATTAAGATACAAACTGACTTGTTATGAAATCTTGGTTCAACAGAAAAGCTATTCGAATTGGATTCATGAAAATAATGATTTTGGTTTAAGAGTTATTGAATTTCTAAACCAGAGGATCCTCGGCTTGCCTTATTTGGAACCTTCCAAATTTGGGCGACTTCAAACTTATCTTTGGTGACCAGGAAACATTCTTCATCAACTAGAGGCTTTAAAGAACGTCAATAAATCAACAAAAACGCAGAGGATCAGCTGGAATCACTCAAAGAACCACTTGCCTTATTTGGACCCAAGTGCATTCAACACATTCACACTTGATGCTTTATCTATCCAACGTCTCTTATTTCTAAATTGCTGCGTTTTGGATAGATTTTCAACGACTCTAGACGCCCCAAGAAATCACACCTTCATGCCCAAACTTTCAAGATACAAGGAGCCTCCAACTTACCTTATTTAGCCGATTCCGTCATCAATTCTCCAACGGCTGGTTTTCATTTAATTTTTTACGATTTGCTTCTTGTTTTAGACCTGAGATATGTCTTGTTTCGAGCCTATATATAAGCTCAGTTCTTTGATCATTGTAAATGACCGTTCATCTTGAATTATTCAGTAAAAAACGTTAAGTTTTCTTTTACAAAAGTGTGTCTTTTGTGTTTTTGTCATTTCAAGCCTTTGGTGAGATTCCATTTGATCATGGGAAGCAGCACGGAAATTATGATGGGGTCGAGAACCAGCAAGCTCCAACTAGTTTGTTAGCCTTTGTCTTCTCCTCTATAGTTCTTGAGAACACTATCTTTGGCTCTGGACATTAAAGCTTTCTTTTCCTTTGCTTTCGGATTCGGCCTTATTGCTAGAATCCATCTTCTTGGCTCGGGATTTGTATAAATTTTTATATTGCTTTCGCCGTCAGCATCCTCCACAAATTCTTTACGCAATATTTGTTTCATCTCTTCCCAAGAAGCATCTGCTACATCATACTCAAGTCGAGCATACGCGTCTTGTTCCCATTTCCTAAAAGCATCTTCGGTGAGAGTATCTTCGGCATAAGATGTTTTCTCATCCTCTGGAATTTGGTTGGCTTAGAGCCAATCTTCCATATTGCTTTCCCATCTCAAGTAAGCTTCTGGTCCCTTATGATGACATGCAAAACAGATATGATAAGAATCGAAATCTACCTCATCATCGGTTGGATGTTCCCATAATTCGGTTTGGATAGTGGAATTGACGTGCTTGGGCTCTCCCTCCTCTTCGACCTTTGATTCACCGTCATAGCTTGCCTCTAATCCAACCTCTTGGCACCATTGTTCTTCATTAATCGAACCAGTTTCTCCCGAACTGATTTACGAATCAGTTTCTTCGTAACACGGCTTGTAGTCATGGTAAGGATCCATGAACTGATTTAATTATTACATTGGCTTACATCATCTTGTCTACAATCTGGTGGTTTTGGCTCAAAATCTCCACGATCTGGTTCATCTTCAAATTTAGAGCTCGAATAATCATCTCCGGGACATGGTGGTGCGTCATATAGTCAGCCTCTCCATCAGACCAACTCTGAATTTGTTCACTATACTCTTCATTGGAGATTAACTCGTAATGGCCTTTTTCTCCTTCATAATTTTCCATTGTTTATGGTTTTCGTTTTGGGTCATCCTCATAAAAGAAACAAGCAGAATAAATTAGAAGAAGTGTTTCCCTTTACTCAAGATAACAAAGGAAACAAAAAAGATTTCGACCAACACAAAAGGAAACAAGTTTCTAGCAAATTTTCAAAACAAATGAATTAACAATTTTTTTTCTAAATGAATTATGGACGAAAATTTCAAGAATATAACTTTTTACTTAGTTTTTATTTTATTTTATAAAATATGAGAAATAATGCAAAAACTGAAAATAAAAGGAAATCGACAAGAATAAATATTTTTATGGTTTTTATATTTTTTTATGAAACAACTAAACAAAGACTGAATTACAATGATTTTTCTTTAGGTTTTTAATTTATGAATGCCGAAACAAATAGAACATAATTAAAACAAAATATTTTTTTATGGATTTTTGTTTTATTGAAACAAAGACATAGGATGAAATAAATCTGAAAGTTCAAGACAAAAGCACCTTGATAGGAACTTTGCTCTGATACCAAATGATATAAGACTCGGAATCACTCATTTGTCTTTGTAATCACACGTTGTCAAAGATAACAAGCTTTGGCGAAAGTGGGCGATGATAGAGATGGATGGTGAAAGGGGTTGATTGACTCTCTCAATCGGTGAACGAACCAGATTGTTTGAATCACATAAACAAGTTAAATTCATGGCTTCTAGAGAATAGAAGTGAATCACACACTTGTATTCAAAAGAATAAGAACAATTCTTCAAAGGCACAACTTTAAAAGAAAACCGAAAACTTTGTATTAATCAGATTGAAAGGTGGTTTATAATGAAAGAATACAAGAGCTTATATAGTGCTCAATACATAAGAAAGCTAACAGTAATAAAACTTTTCAAGGAACAAATAATCTGCATTTAAACAATATAGCCGTTGGAGAGGAATGGCTTGGCCATTTAAGGAAAATTGTGGGCTCTTGTATCTTGACAGCTTCTGGATGATTCCATGGCTTGTTAGTCTGCTATTAAATCTCGTGATATGCTCTCGGCGCCAAATAAGGAAACAGTTATTTGTCCTTCGCTTTTAATGCTCTGTGCGCCAAATAAGGAAAGTCTTGGGGTATGGAAGAGCAAGATTGAATCCACATGATCCAAATGGCTAGAAATGAAGCATGAGGTGTTACTAAGAGGCTCTAGTTGTAGTAGATACTGGACGCCAAACATATAACTGAATACTCCCAAATCCTGAAGGTTCCACATTAGGCAAGTCTGGAATCCTCTGGTTTAAAAGTTTAATAACTTTTACATCTGAACCGGGATTGACATGAATCCAATTTTTTGCGTTTCCATTTTGAATCAACATTACATACCAAGTCGGTTTATCACTTAATTCTTCTTGGTTCGGTCGAAATCTTCCAAAGAGTGCATGTGTATCCAAATCGGGTAAATTCATATTCTCCCGGATTGAAAACTTAATACATCCTTCATCCGAACTCGTATTGGATTGATTCCACTTCGAGGAGATTCGTCATTGAGCTAAAAATATTCCAAGCAGCGGCAGGATTGTAACAATTGATCTTGGACTTCGTCTGAGATAAACGATGCTTAGGGGTCTTCTTGGATAGGTTGAGCATGCTTAGGCCGCATGTTTGAATTTGATTTTCGTCTTCTTGCATACTGAGTTGCTCTTGTCCTCCCTTGTCTCATCCACTCTCTTTTCCATTAGTGTGTACCTCAAGCCTCTTCATTAAGGCTCGTTGTTCTAGCTTTGTTGGCTCCGGTTTGGTCTTCTTGGCCTTCTCGACTCGCCTAATTAACTCCATGCGATTTCCTTTAGGGTTGATACTTAGTTTGATGACCGCATCAATAACCAAACAACCATAACTATTTAAACAGTACATACAACAAGAACATTTAATGAAAGAGAGAAAAAGAATACCTGAATTTACTCATGATCAGAAGATCGCTGATGTCGTGAGAGCTTAAATAATCAAGAAGACCGAATAAAGTTGATGGTTTAACTAACTGAGACATTTAATCGAACACTTGTTGTGCAACATATATATAGTCCTATAATCTTATAAATCGTAATATAAACTACATACATTCAGTTACGAGTACACTAGTCCTATAATCTAAGCCAAAATTCACCTTAAAAAGTTATATCACCTAAGCAGAAACCAACACAAGTCATTATTTCAAAAAACCCAAAACAAATATGACAAATCGAAGACTTATAAATCAAATTCGCAAACCAATCACAAATTCGCAATTTTTCCTACTCAATTTAGGCAATCATCAAAGAACACATGCAAACTCTTTTTCTCCTCCGTGGTAGCTTTCCAAACTGAGTAAAAAGAACAAAAAAGATTTCGGGTTTTATTTTAATGAGAAAACAAAGTCGTTGAATGTGTTTTTTTACACTACATTAACGTAAAAAAAGACGTCGTGTTAATTCATTAGAAAATACAAAAAACAAAAAAATCTGACTCATTAACTCTACTTTAATGAATAAACAGTCTAGTTAACGTCTAAACTAACTCCGTAATCTATCAGGTATTTACATGCTTACTTTAATTCGTTCGAGTAGAAAAATTTAAATTTTACTCAGTTGGGATATATTTACGTACTAATCCAGAATTCAGGCCCGGCAAAAAAAAAAAAAAATCCAGAATTCAGGCATGAATAATAAGCCGAAACCGCAACATCTTAACGCGAAGGAAATGGAGGAGGTGGCGTGCGTATTCCAAGAAGCTGTCAACAGATGTCACGTGTCCAACGACTCACTTACACGTTTCTTAGACAAATTACAAAACTCAACCCAAAAAAAAAAAAAAGACTTCTCACCAAGGGTTGGTGAAATGGAATCCAGCGAGGATGTGGAGGTTCTGAGCAAAGCGATCGAGAAGCTTCTCCATGAGAAGAGGAAGAGAGAAGCTTCCGGTGACCCCTTCATCGAAGACCACGACGATCAGCTTTTGCTCTCTACCCTCATCTCTCAGGTTCTCTCTCTCTTCTTTTCCCATCGCCCCAAGTTCCAACTTTTCTCTGGGCAAGATTGAATTATCATTTTATTTTTACCAGTCTTTGTAATTGCTTGGATGAACCGAATCACTCTTCCTGCTGGTCAATTCGTTAAACGAAACCATACTCGTATTGTGTTTGGACAAGTTACTGTTTGGTTTCCATTCTCTGTTTTGGAACTATTCCCATTTCAGGGCTAATGCCAATGTTTGTTTATTTAATTTACTTAGTTGGAATCACCAAAACCGGGAGGAAAACCTATCA